CGGGCGGCGCGTGCAGCAGCCGACACTCCTCCCGCACCTGCCGGGGAGCCCCGCTCAGCCACGCGGCCCTCCTCGTCCCCGCGCGCGGTGCCGCTGCTCCGGCCAGGCCCCGTCACCGCCGGTCACCCCATGGGGAAGGGCAGCCCGGGGTGCCCTGTGGGGAAGCTGGAGGCGTTGGCTGCTCCGTGGTCAAAGGGGTTCTGGGCACCCCATAGCGCCAAGGTCAAGGAGGCCCTAGAGGGACTCCCGAGGCAGAGGACTCGGCTACCGGAGGGTGCGGAGGATTCGGTTACCCCATGGGGCAGGAGAACCTGGATATTTTGCCTACCCAGTGGTGCAGGACGGCCCGTAGGATATGGGTACCCGCGGTCGAGAGGGACCTGGAGGCTTTGGGTCCCTTATGCAGGGCAGCCCACGGGACCCAGGTACCGAAGGTCCTGGAGGCTCTGGGCAGCCCATGGACTTGAAGGGCACCAGAGCCCAGGCCAGTGCAGCAGCTTTGGAGCGTGACCACCCCGTTCCAACACATCCCCCGGCAGGAGGGGCTGCCCCTCAGCTGGGCACAGGCTCCGGTGCGCCCAGTGCAGCCCGTGCTGGCCACACAGGACACGTCAACGTCCCGTGGGGACAAGGGGGAGCTCTAGGTGAAGGACTGAATTGCGGCCACCACCTTGGGCCAGCTCCCAGCCCCACCGCCCTGCGACGCCTGGAGATACCGGGTGGCCGTGCCGTGGGGCCAGGGGACTCGCAGAGAGACCCTCTCCACCCGCAGAGAGGGGTCTGCAGGGGCCCTGCTCAGCTCTGCTGCCCTGGGACCCCATTTCCCCGTCCCCAGGGGCCTCACAGCGTGGTGGGGACCCAGCTCTTACCGCCTCCGATTTGGGTGGCACGGGGGGCGGCGCGTCCCCGAGGGGCTCATCCCGGGGGGCGCCAGGGCGGCGCGGGGAGCCCAGCGGGGACGCGGCCCCAAAGGAGATGAGGTCCTGCCGGCCCTTGCTGCTGCAGCCCAGCCCCAGCGGGGTCCCGCCGGCCTCCGAGAAGCCCTCGAGGCTCTGGTGGCTCCAAAGCTCCTCGTAGGGGATCTCCAGCGGCTCCTGAGTCCTGAACTCGGGCTCGGCCCAGT